GGCGTCGAGCTAACATGAATACCGTAAAATGTAGCCGGATTGTACACGCTAATCCTCAACGATCCATTCACATTCAGCATTTTTGTTGGAACCCCAGTGAAGTCTGCACCTGATCCGACATAAAGGTTGCTTACCAACAAACTCTGCACAAATGATTACAATGCGAAGATTTAATGGAGAGAATACTAGTTACAGAGCAAAGATTACCGACCCCTTTCACTTCTTGAAAACTACAATTATGTGCTATCCAATCTTCCATACCAAACATGCCATCAATGAATTAAGTACGAGTAACAAAGTTTTCTTAGCAGAAAAGATTACACGAGGTATGATACTACAAATCATTAAATGCAGCATACAATTTTTTCATCAATAGCAGATATTATCTATAGAATTTTCGTGTTGAAGAGAAGAGACAATTTTATTTATATGAATTGTATCTACAACACGCCTCCTTGCTTGAAAACTAGATTCATTTTTTCATTTAACTACACACTCAATTTTCATACATCTGTTCTCTCATTCCATGTTAAACTAAGGTAGTCTAAAAGTTTAAACTGCTAGACCTAAATTTGCTTTCTAACTAACACAATCAAATGCTAGAACAACTTAACAATCAGAGTAATAAAATTTAAAACCAGACAGAATAAATTGCTTTACCTTGACAGAAACCTCTGGTTTATAAGGCCTGGCTGCACCCCAAATGATCAGACAAAATACAGTAAAAAGAACAATAAACCCACAAACACCCATCAAAGCCTGGCATCTCCTAGTAAACGCCTTATCATTATCAAATTCATCATAGTTTCCCTCTTCTAAGATAACATTACACTCCGGCCACCCCTTGTCGTTCCTTTTCCGGTTCCCTTTACGCCCTGAGGATGACCTAAATATCCCGGAAAATCGACTGGCTGATGAATTCCTAGAGTGGCGCCCAAATGAAGGGTGTGAAGGGGATTCCATTGGGCTATTGAAATTAGGAGTTGCTTGCATAGAGGAGGACTTGTCCCCATCATGAGAATCCCTTGAAGGGCTCTGCACAAAGTACACTGGCCTTTTTGGAGACCTTGATGGAGATGATGGGGCTAAACTAGTGATATCAGATTCTGATTTTGTGTGCAGCATATTTCAAGAAATTTGCAGAGTTCAAGCAAGCAGATTCTTGGTAAAAGAATAAAATGAATTTTTCCACTTTTTCAAGAAATTAATAGATATTCTAGTTGCAGATTCTTGAAAAGAAATATGGAATTCGCACTTTTTCAAGAAAATTACAGAAACTCAAGCAGCAGATTCTAGAAAACTAAATATGAAATTTGCACTTTTTCAAGAAATTTTCAGAATTCAAGCGGTAGATTCTTGAAAAGAATTATAAAAATTTCACCGTTTCAAGAAATTTGCTGAAGTTCAATCATCATATTTTTGAAGGAAAAAAAAAAAGTGAAAATATCTACCTATAACCAAAATTTGGGGTTGATTTCTTGGCTATAATAAAGAACAGAAACAAAAATAGTGCATGCAATTGCTGAAAATAAGTGAAAATCTATTAATTATACGAAGGAAAAAAAACAGTAGAACACATTTGCATTAAACAACAGAATGAACTGAACTGAGCCCACGGACCAAAATCATAAATTCAACTGACAGTGTGAGAGTGAGTGCAGTGTGTGCATGAGAGAGAATAAATGCGTCAAGCTTGCGTTTTTAGAGAGAGGAAGAGACACAACCGACAATTGTTAACGAGGCTGAAACTGGACCTGATCCCAAGCCTATGCATGATTTTGGTTTGGAATTGAGTGTCGGCAGCCATGGGTCACTATCAAAAGTGTTGGAGGCTTTTGACAACTAGCTTTGGGGTTGGGGATTTGACAAGCAGCCAATTAGATTTTCCACTATTTTTCTTTTTCTTTCTTTAAGTTCTTTACTTTTCTACTCTTATTACTGTGGAGGTATGTATAAGAGAAAAATGCTACTCAATCAAGTACAAAATCAGGCTCAAAAATAGGGAGTCGAGGTGGAAACATCTCGACCCTTAGATCTGAAAAAAAAAAAGTAAGTTGAATCAGGGACTGAGGTGGTCAGCCCCTGTTTTTGAGCCTGTTACTGAACCTGTCTCAATAGCAGAGCTGCATATAAGAAGAGTAATGTTACACGCACAATAAATTTTTTTTACAGATTTCATACATAGTGATGCTTGGCGCAATTTTATTGATTGTTGGCACACACAAAAAAAAAAAACTGTAAATTAGGTGCTGCCAGCGCAGCAACACTTCTAGGAATTTTCTATGAAGAATTTTCCATATAAGAAGGTTATAAAAAATTTTCTTATTTAAAGTTTTACCTTTCGGAACCATAACAATTTATTTATTTAAATTATCTTCAATACTTTTCCTAACTTATTATATCGTTTTTACGTAATCTTGGGACTAATAGCTTTTTTAATTTAAAGTTAGACATCTCGAGCACCTAGAATGATATTTAAACAATTTGAGTCGGTATGCAAATTCCTCATCTACAAATCAGCCCTTCCCGTAGGGTATTTTCTCAACGAATAAGTAATTGTAGGAGTTAAATCTTGATAACACTTTTCCTTCGATACATATTATCGTTTCTTATTTTATCGGCAACCCATTCATCTTAATACTTGTATGTAGTTTACTCGGCAATTTATTTATTTATTTTGTCTGTCTAATCAAATGGTACATTAAAAATTACTATTGAAATAAATTTTAGTCACTGCAGGTACGTTAGACATAAAAATAAAAGCCAGCGGCCATCTACTTTTAATTAATTTTGTAATAAGTTGGCAACAACTACAAATTGAAGAGAAAAATAGGCATTTTTATATTGGTGGGCCTTAGATTATTGGAGTTGTTGTGCAATCCCATTTGTCTTTGGGCCACATAGAGCAGACAAAATTTAACCACACGCGAATTATTGCTTCATCAAATTAATAAGAATATACCCTTCTTAGTTATTGAATATTAATATTTATCTTTAGCCGGTCGAAAAGGGTTAAGACAAAAATATACCCAAAGTAAGAATTATAATGATTTGGTAATTAGTGGTTTCTCATAATGAATTTTGATGGATGTACAGAAATATTTTAATAGGAGTTTTCTAGATCCCTTACATGAGGTGGGTCCCATCTCATTAACAAATAACCTCAAAAATTTCCACCCACCCATGTTTGTGTGTGTTCTGTAGAACCCTTACTTAGTACCCAAGCATGACACTTATCGTAATAGGACTATCCCAGATTAAAAAGGAGAAGTATTAGACAACTATTTAATCCTATTCATTTCAATATATCAGATATCTCATCACATTTCAAAATTCAAGTGTTTCTGTTCTATATTAACACGTTGAAATGTAATTTGAACAATGAGAGGCTTTCTTCTTATCTGCCCTTGTAGAATGATCCTCATTGTCGAGGTCCGTGTTTGGTCTATACTAGTTAAATATGCAGTGGCATCATGCGCAGATATTCTCGTTGTAGCCTACTTGCTTTGTGTGTTGACTATTTCAAGTTTAAGGCCATGCGAGGGAAGGGTGGCCTGAGTGGGGCCCTACGCCCTGAAACCGTTGGGTGACGTGGGCTTTTCGTGTCAAGTGGTAACAAGCTAAAGTCTTTAACAATTTACAACATAAATTACCATCGATGATCATTAAATATTTCCTTGATGCACTAATTCCACGAGTTCAAGGAGCAACGAAATTGGCCTTATTATGATGAGAACTGAAAAAAAAAGAGTCAATGTTTATCAACCAAACAATCATAAAATCAGTGCTTTCATGACAGAATCAAACAACTGGGGTTAATAGTGGTTTGTTCAGAAAGTGAGCTTCCAAGTTCCCGATAACAAGGTCAGCCATGGCATTGCGGGTTTCTAGAGTGCCGCTTCCCACATGAGGCAACAGCACGACATTGTCAAGACTAAACAGCTGCTCGGGTACTTCAGGTTCCTTTTCAAACACATCAAGTCCAGCACCACCCAATCGACCCTCCACCAGAGCAGAAACCAGTTCGGGTTCGTCCACATGAGGGCCTCTTCCAATGTTGATGAGAACTCCCTTTGGACCCAATGCATTAATTACTTCGCGGTTGACAATATGACGTGTTTCAGGAGTCAATGCACATGCAACCACAAGGATGTCACAGTTAGATGCCAAGTCGATAACACTTGAATGGTATTTGTAATTGGTATTTGGTTTCTCAGATCTTGAGTAGTAACTGATAGGGCAGTCGAACGCCTCTGCTCTTTTTGCAACTGCCAATCCAATCCTGCCCAATCCTATGATACCAACTCTTTTGCCACTAAACTGCAAAAGAAGATGAAAAAGATGAGGGCATGAACGAAGAAGAAATACAAGCACCCAAACAGATTTCACCAGGCAAAGAATTTAGCATAATGTACGTGTTTTGGTACACAGTATTATTAGCATATTGAACAAGATTTTAGCTTCTTCATAAGTCTTACCCAATCCACTTTACACAAACATGCCAAATGCGTCCAATTAAGGACGGGAGTTTCAATTTCTGAAATGCAAGATATTTTTACTTAAAAATGATTTTAGAGCACTCCTATGCTTTTGAATGGCAAAATGGTTCTCACTCTACTAACTTCGAACTAACTTCATTATAAGATTTAAAGGGAATTAACGTGGTAAAAATTTCTTAAATCATTAAAAGCTGCTAGTAAACCATGAAGTCTATTAGAACAAATTTGCTACATGGCCCAAAAAAATGCAGCTCTACCGTAAATATAAAATCTCATTCAAAAGCTTTCCCATCATTACCACATAAGTTGCACAAGAAATAGCTTTGTGGACAGTATAAGAACTTAATAAAATAACTTGATTTCCTACGAACTTCTGCTAGATGTGACAATGGTCTAAGCTTGTGCCAAAAAAAAAAAGAAAAAAAAAAAGGTAGCCTAGGCTATTAGAGTTGGATGCTCCAAAGTTGAACAACTAAGCCATGCTCTGTGAATAGCTGGTGAAAAAATAAATGAAGCCCAACAAATTTTCTTTACTACACTCCTTCACTATTATATTTCTACAACACAATCATTATCAAGCATTCAATCAACACATTACTCAAATTTGCAGACCCTCAAGCAAATATTAATAGATACTAATACCACATGTAAAATTCCTTCGAACAACATCTGGAGACAAGGAATTGTGATTTTCCAATATGGGTTAGAAATGATTCCGTGGGAATTTGACTACACAAAGTTAAACTTGGGGCATTGATTTGGAATTTATGACAAGAAATAACTCAATTCAATTTTATTTGAACCATTTCCAGTTCTGCCAACAGAGTTTTCAATTTTCACCAATTATATGCACCCAAAACAGAATTGAGATACACCCAATTGCAAATTGAAACATCATGAAAATTAAGTTGTCATTAATTTTAATTTTTCAACGGTAGCATCAATTTTTATTTTCCATGACATTTCAATTTGTGATTGGATGGACAGCAAATTAGACAGCATAGAGGGACAACAGATGTCAACTCCCCAAAAGACAGCCTTCAATCCAAAATTATTGGAATCGTTTCTACTTCTGGCAACAAAGTTTTAATTTTCACCAATTTTATCAAGCCAAAAGAGCCTTCTACATAGTCATAGATACCCAGAAGATCAAACAAAAGTATGCATAATTCATCAAAACCAAGAAAAATAGAAGCTACAAAAATGGGGGAAAATAATTCTGAACCTTAGTAGTCAATTTGAAGTCGCCCATTTTCCACAACCCTTTCCTCACATATTTATCACACTCGCAAATCCTTCTCAGAACCGCCAGCATCAAACCGATTGCCAAATCGGCCACATCCTCAGTCAGTACATCGGGAGTGTTAGTAACTCTAATACCCTTTTCCTTACATTTGTTAAGATCAATCTTATCAAGGCCCACGCTAAAACTCGACACAATTTCTAGTTTGGGCAAGGCATCGATCAACTCAGCGTCGGCACCGGCCGTCGCATTCCCCACCACTGCTCGGATTGACTCGGCGTGGATTTTCAAGAATTCTTGTCTGGATGGCTGGGCCCAGAATCTGTAGAGCTTAAACCGCTTGTCTAGCTCTTGTTCTAAGTAAAGGGACATTGGGCATGCCATTAAAACTCCGATAGAAGCGTCCATTTTTTCCGGCGGAGGACGTTGGTGATGCTGGGAGGACGAATTTTTCTTGGTGGAGAAATTAGGTAGAGAATTTGCGGCTACTATTGTGAGAGAAAGGTGTAATCGGTCCGATTTTAACGATTTTGACAAATTTTTAAATCAAGTCGTTTAAGTCCATTTAAGAAAAACTCAAATTTAAATTAAATCATTTTGAACGATTTGACAAAAATTCAAACTTAAATCAAACGATTTGATCAGATTTTAAATCGTCGATTTTGCAATATATTTTTTTGTCCGTCTACTTTTATATCGTTAATTCATTGAATTCAAAATATATTTATATCTTACTAGCAATAAATCTAAGTCAAACTAAATCCCTGTTTCAACCAAATTTTTGGGACAAAAAAAATGAAAATTTGGACCATTTTCCCTCAAGTCCAGTCGTCTTTGTTGACTTGTTATTTCATGTGTGAGACCCAACCTCCTCTCCAAGTCAATTTTCTCATTATGATGATATAAAAAATATGGTTCAAACATGGAGCTAAATATATCTACTATAAATTTAAATATCAACTAAATCAAAGTGAAACTACGATAAATTAAAACAAAGTTTTTTTTTTTTAATTTTTGTTCACATTTTTTTAGGTTAATGACTATACAATAATTAGATATAAGGCCAAAAAAAATATAATGATGTCCAACAAGACCTCGTGATCATCATATCTGAAAAAATGATACTGATTAGACAAAAAGAATAACCAACCACAATAATAAAGCAATTGTTTATAATATCTAAATATAATAATTACACAAGTTTACGTTTATATGGTGTTACGAAACGCATTTAATTTCAAATTATTACCTTAGTTTGCTCCAAAAAAATTATTGATATAAAACTTTATTCGTAGCAAATAGTCTAAGATCTCTTTATCTCCAATTTGGTATAATGGATTTCAATTTAACTTTGAAGAGAAGTAAAAAATCTGAAAAAGAAGTGCATGGTGCCGATGACTCAAGACTGTGTTGGATATCGGCTGGAGTTCATCTAAATTTTGAAGAGGAAAAATGCTTTTGATAGATTATGTTAGTTTTAAAATTATTATATATAAATTAGGATTATTGAATAATAATAATATATCTGTATTAGAAAATACCCACAAATGATAAAAAACTATTAAATTTTATATATTTGGATGAATTTTCAAAAATTTTCATTTTTTTATTTTTATATATTTTTTCGCCAATTCGGCTTGGTTTTAAACCGCAATTAAAATTCTCAAACGTAAACCAAACCATTTTGACCGGTTTGGTTTAGGTCAAAACCATTTCATTGACCGCGTCCACGTGGCAAGAAACCGACAATTTCTAAAATGCGATTTCGATTCGATTTTCCGATTTGACGATTTTTGTTTACAGCCCTAGCAAGAGGACGTGACCGCAACTTACATAAAAGTATACTATATACTCACACCATCCCAATTATGGCCATGTTTGATTCTCATTATTTAGCCCCCAAAAATAAATAAATAAATAAATAAATATATATATATATATATATACATATATATATATATATATATATGATCGTTATTTATCACATCAAGTCATCATATTTAACTTTCTATCTTTTGTGTGGATCTCGTAACGACTATATTTTTCATTTTCATTCTTACAAAAATGGATGCCAAACGGGGCTATATAAGCACGGATTAAGAATTTATTTTTTTAATGTTATTGAAAAATAATTTTTACCAAAATTTTTCTCAGTTTACCCCTATTTAATTTTCAATATTTAGTAATAAATTATTGTTAAAATTAGTAAAGAATTTGAATGATTCAATTTGAAGAAGAAGAAATGAGAGTTGTTTTCATGTTTCTAAGAAGTGGGAAATGTGTGTATTTGAATTATTTCAAGAAGTTAACATATTAAGTGGATAAAATTGAATAAGAGTATATTGGTAAATGAACAAAATAAAATATTCTAAATTAGGAAACAGACCTATATTTTTGGAATAAGTGAAAAAAAAAACTCAGCTTATATAATTGGGACGAATAGAGTATTCTTTTAGAGTAATGATTTGTAATCTTACTGGAATTGCAATTTTTGTCTAGATGACATTAAATAATAAATTAAATGAAATTAAATGAATTATTTGATTTCACATATCAATTAATGTCAAACCACCTAAATTGGGTTTGCAACCCCAATAAAATTAAATAGTATTGCTCATTTTTTTAACTTTAAAATAATATAATTACTTATTTTAAAAATAATCTATCAAAATAATTTAATTTATCTATAATTTTGATCCATGAAAGAAGTATTCAGCTGTGCGTACGTTTGGCTCTCCATTTTTTCAAAATCTCATTTTACAAAACTCATTTTTAATAATTCATTTTCCTCTAAAATTAATACAAGTAAATAGAAAAAATTTCCTTATTTTTTAATTATAGAATCTCCAACAAAACACTATTCAAAAATACATTTTAAAGAAGATGGGAACTCAAAAACAAGGGCTAACACATGCTCTAAAGTGTCCGATGTACTCTCAACGACTTGTGTGACCCAAACGACGAGAGGCACGTGCATCGCTCCTTCAATCAGTTTATCACGTTAAATCTTTTCAATTAGAAATCGTTAAAGATTTAAACAATTCGCCCAACAATATTTTAGCAAACTAATTATAAATTATTGTTCACGACGAAGATAAATATTAACATGTAAACTAAAATGTGACACACAAGTTTATGTCCCAAAAGTTGGCTCAAACCCATAAACATTAGATGTAAACATGAACAAACTAATAGTTTAGAATTGATTTATGAATTTTTATTTCCTCATTCAATTTAATTTTTCACTGGATCTTCTCTAATATTCAGTATAATTATATTCTTTATTGATTTGGAAAAGGAAAAAAATTGTTAAAATGTCTCCAAGACTAATCGGATGAAGGAAATGGATTAATTTGTGCAATCTGGACCGCTCTATCCCAAAGTTTAAAGTGCATTAAAAGCGCCAATTTTATTTATTTATATTTTATTATTAACGTAGCCTGATAATAATTAGGAAACAAAGCCTTTCAATTTTCTTACATGTGGAGAATCAAGAACCAGACCGAACAGAAAAAATTTAGAAAATCCATAAGATTAAACCTAACTTCTTCATTTTGTCAATTCATTTCTGACCTGTCTTGTTTATTGATTCCTATGCATACACCCCATTTTCCCTACAATTCACAATCCAAGAAACAAAGGCATTTGTTTTTCCTTCTGCAGCAGAATTATTTGATTTTCCTTTTCATTCCATTTCCATCTCATTCTTGAAGGAAAATCGTTTTTCCTTCGATCATTGACTCGTTCTAAATTCTTCCATTGATACCACATTCATCGGAGAGATATACTGCATCTCTCTACGTTGCATAACCCTTTAGATCTTTTGAGAAACATTCGGTTTGAATCAGAAAATGGTTCGATCGTATAAGGAAGAAAAAGAATTCTATTATTGTGTAAAATAAAGAATTCCTTCATCATCATTTTCCTTTATATGATCATATAATGGAGCAAGAAAAACTTGGCTGGCCTCTTAACCGTTTGGAAAGTACTAAGTTGCATTTCTCAAATGATGTAAATGCACCGAATCCTCGTACGATAGATAGACAACATTCAGGCAAGACGTTCTTTTCTTATGTATATTTCTTCTTACTTTTTAATTATTGGCTGCACGAACTTGGAGAAAATGTTAACAAAATTCCATTCATGATTCATTTTTTCTTTGGTTTATTTTTACACGACAAGAAAACATTTACTAGAAATTTTTTAATAAGATTTGACAAAATTTTACCCTGACTATCAGCCACCATAACCTCATTTTCACCCGATTTCAGAGCCGGTTATGAAAACATAGACAGATTAAAGAACAAAAAACCCTTTTCAAAATCTTTAGACAGGATATATCAGAAACATGAACAGATTGTTCCCGTTTGATAGAAAATTTCGGTTATGTTCAATGTAAATTGTATCTGATTATTAATTTGAATTTCTTTTTATGTTGGCTATATTTCAGATATGGCGCAAATGAAGGAAAAGTTTGCAAAGTTGCTTCTTGGTGAGGATATGTCTGGTGGGGGAAAGGGTGTTTCATCAGCTTTGGCATTGTCAAATGCTATTACGAACTTAGCAGGTATCTGATTTTTCATTTCTAACTCAATATAGTATTTGTCGTTGAGTCGAACCGTGTAGTTAAAATTTGTTTTTAATCAAAAGCACGATTAATGGAATTTTTCATATACAGGTACCAAAAAATCTCGAATACATGATTTTCATCACCTTGATGTCATGATTGTTAAATTAATTCACCTGAAAGTTTAAATTGATACAAAGATATTTAGTCCCTATTCGGCGATTTTTCTAAAATTCATTTTCCTCGAACTATATGACTCAAAATTTTTTATCAACTTTTCAACAGTAGATTTTATTAACTTTTATTAAAATTTATTAAAAAAATGATTTTTATCTAAACCGAATAGGGCTTAATTTTCAACATGCCTCTTCAAATTAAAAGCCAGAAATGTGCATATATTTATATAAAAAAAAAAAAGTGACGATAGCTTAAATCAAGATTTTTTGTCCACTATAAAAGTTTAAGTTGTTATAGGGGGAGAATTTTAGTTATTTATATTTTATCTTCTCTGTGTTCAATGATTTGATAACACAAACTCTCTTTGGCTTCCTTTACGCAGCTTCTGCATTTGGAGAACAAAAGAAATTAGAGCCCATGGCACCAGAGACCAAAGCAAGATGGAGAAAGGAGATTGATTGGCTCCTGTCTGTCACAGATCATATTGTTGAATTTGTTCCTTCTAAGCAATTCTCAAAAGATGGAATATATATGGATGTAAGTTACTTTCTCGTTTCATTTGGCCCTAGGTGTTTCGGATGTTCCCGTAAAACATTGCTAGTAATCAAACTTACAACATTGTTCTACTTCGGTTGTTTCTCAAGTTAGTCACCGAGCTTTATTTTTTGTTTCAATTGCATAAATTGAACAATGAAAGTTCAGCACCTATTTGAACTTAGTCGACCCCAAATTTAAAGAGAACATATGTTATATCAATGTTTCATTCTCTACCAGATTATGGTAACAAGGCAAAGATCTGATCTTCACATTAACATCCCTGGCCTACGCAAGCTCGATGCAATGCTCCTAGTAAGTGCGCATATCTCCTTGTTCAAGATTAATTTCTGATTTTCATTGTATGTTCAGTACATAGTACTGGACATGAACAAACCCTTTCGAGGAACATATCCTTAAAATTTAAGAATAATAATTTATACTTCATTGTGCTTATGATAAACAGGAGTGCCTGGAAAACTTCAAAGAGCAAAATGAGTTTTACTACACAAAATCAAAAGATGATGATCCAAGGAACGATGATAAATGGTGGATTCCTACTCCTAAAGTCCCCCCAAATGGGTTATCTGATGCTACAAGAAAATGGCTGCAGAAGCAGAAGGATTCTGTAAACCAAGTGCTTAAAGCAGCTATGGCTATAAATGCACAAGTCTTGTCAGAAATGGAAATTCCAGAAAGCTACATAGAGTCGCTTCCAAAGGTACGATGAACCTCAAAAAGCATCCAGTGTTTTTATTTTTTTGGTTCAAAATAATGACCGTTTATTCACCTTTCAGCAAAATTTCGTGTTTGTTCATTCTCCATGTAACTTCTAACAATTTGCATTATTCTGCTTATACAGAATAATGCATTACAGAATGAAACTAGAATACTCACATGGGGGTGAGTAAAATATTATCAAAAAATATTTACCCATCCCTCATTGTGTGTATTCTATAAAATCTCTATGAAAGAAATTCCGTACACGAAGTGGAGTTCGTAACAATTTAAGCATCCTGCCCATATTCATTAGTTTGACTGACTGAAATGTTAATGTGACAGCCTAATTGGCAAATAATTGGACTCACGTGTCATCTTTTTCCGTTAGTCAAACTGATAAAATGTACTTGGTCACAATTTATCTAAATTCAAATTCAGAGACCAACTTGGAACAAAATGAGTTTAAGTGACCATAAAAATTCGCTTCGCGCATCCCTTTTTTTTTTTTTTTGGTTTCCAAAAAAGGAAAAAAATTTAGTAGCCTGACTGATGCTTTTATGGACAGAATGGAAGAGCAAGTCTCGGAGACTCAATTTACAAGAGCATAACTGACGATTACTTCGATCCCGATTATTTTCTGTCCACTATGGACTTGTCATCGGAACATAAAATTCTTGACCTTAAAAATAGGATCGAGGCATCAGTGGTTATATGGAAACGGAAAATGAATGCTAAAGACAGCAAGTCTTCGTGGAGTTCGGGTGTAAGTTTGGAGAAGAGAGAAATTTTGGAAGAAAGAGCAGAGACTATTTTGCTTCTTCTGAAGCACAGATTCCCTGGACTCCCTCAGTCAAGTCTAGACATCAGCAAAATCCAATACAACAGAGTAAGAAATGCTTATTCCAACCATAAACTCTCTCTTCTTAAGCATCTTTTGAGTTTTCTTCTTCGATTTCCTTGCGTTCCATGTTAGACTATGTAGAGCTTAATCATATTGTACGCTAATCCTTATCCCGTGGACTAAGAACTGATCAAATATTCCTAGACATGCAAAGAATTTTAAGGTTTTGTTATTTTTACGTGCAGTCAAGGTGTGAGAGCTTTGCTCCTCTTTTAGTTACTTTTCTGATCATTATTGCTCGCAGAACTAGGGATTAAGGCCTAATCCGAAACGCTAAAAAAACTGATTGCAAAAATTCATTTCGATTCAGTCACTAGAATTCGTACTTTGATGTTTTATTTGGTATTTTCAGGATGTGGGACAAGCTATTTTGGAGAGCTATTCAAGAGTAATAGAAAGCTTGGCGTATACTGTCTTGTCAAAAATTGAAGATGTTACATATGCCGATAATCTTGCTCGGAATCAATCAAATGGGGAAAGAAAGATTAGACTTGCATGTGATAGAGAAGAACTCGAGAAACAAAACTCAGCAGAGACACCAACTTCAATGACATTGTTGGATTTTATGGGTTGGAGTTTAGATCGAGGTGACACAGAAACAAATAATGATATTAAGAACGATGTTTACAAAGAGGTCAATATTCTCCCGAGCAAACCACCTAATGTTGTGACAAACAAGAAAATATCCTACATAGAGAGGCTAGAGAACTTAGGGGGAGCAAGAAGTCCAACAGCACGCCATTAACTGATTCCTTGACAGGAAAAAAGTGTATGTTTTTGGTACATAGACCTCAATAAAAAAGTTTTAGCTCGTTTCTCTTTTTCAGTATTATCCGATCCAATCCTTCCAGATGAACATGCTAAGGTCGAACTGTATAGGATTATGTATCAAATTATAGCTCTCCTCCTGTAAATAGAAAGCATTGGTAGTGTATCACTTCTGAAGTCCCTTAGTAGAAGAAGTCATATTAATTCTGTACTGGATTATTATTGAGACTTTTTTTCTCTTATGGAAAATGTTCGTAGCTCATTGTACTAGGAATGTTGTTTTTTGTTGTTTGTCACAACTTTTTTACCTATGATGATATTATATACCAGGTAGAGGCCTAAATCAGGCCTTGCCGAATTATGCCTCTAAGGTTTATGTGCTACCTAATTATCATATTCACTTGCCCCTTCGACTGTGAATAAACCTAGTTGAGATTAACGCGTCTTCACAAATTTCAAGCATGATATTCACATAAAGCATAATTTGACATGGGATCTCATTGCATATAGTTATTTGAAAGTAGCGTTCAAAGCCTCAATCACCCAAGTTAAAGTAGCATGATAATACAAATCCCAAATTCCTTCCTCTCTATCTCCACAACTCGAGTTTTCAAGCTCACAATGTTATGGATTTAGATTACGACGCTTGCTTAATGTTAATTACTTATGTGCCAAAGAATTAAAGCTTGGAAGGAAATAAAAGTATAATCGCGATATCCTACAAACAAGTTATATAAATTTATGTTGAAGTTGTGTCCAATCCAACTTAGCAAACATGTCAATATTAAATGACAATATATTAGATACATTTCTTCTCCTGCACAAAGATGTAGTTTGTCCAAAAGTTGTAGTTCATAGAGGTGGAATCCACATTACATTAACCAAAATAAGCCCCAGGAATCGACCCGTTTCAAGAATACTCCTACTTTAACAAATTAGTTGGGCAAAAAATTAAATAGTTCAACTTTTTCACGGAAATGAAGAGAGAAACTTTCTTCATCATCTCCTCCACTTATCCATAACCCTCCCTCAAAAAAAATGTCTCTAACCTCTCCTCCAATTCTCCAATTCAAATCTCTCTCCCTCTCAACGCCATTTCTCCGTGGCGGTGCCTCGTCTATCGTACGCCTCCCAAAGACCTTTTCCACCGCCACCCCTTCTCCGCTACCACCTACGCCTACATTCCTCCCTGTTATCAGAGCAATGAAATCCATGCAAGGCAGGGTTACTTGTTCATCCCACGACGAGACTGTGACTGTGCAAGTTGTACGGCTTGCTCCACACCCGAAGTACAATCACCGCGTTAGGATGAAGAAGAAGTACCAAGCTCACGATCCATTGAACAAGTTCAGTGTTGGGGATGTTGTTCAGCTTGAAAAAATCAGGCCCATTAGCAAGCTCAAGACTTTCTTGGCTGTCTGGGTTCCCAGTCGAGGCGGGCCGAAGGCAAAAGACTCGGAATCGCAGGAGTTGGGGCTTCCACTGGAGTCTCAGCAGCCTGAGAGTTGAAGAAAACAATTGAGACAGTTGGTGTTTAATTGTAAGTGGAATCTTTATTTTTGTTGGTGTTTAATTGTAAGTGGAATCTTTATTTTTGTGTTCTTTATCTTTTCATTGTAATGAATGTTATACTGAAGATCTTTTTGTTAATGTAATGTAGGGATAGTTTTATGCTTCAATTTTAATCTTTTCATGGAATCTGTTTGTTCATTGAAGTGTTGAATTTTAGGCTAATAATGTGTTTTCAGAAATTGCAAATAGAGAAGCATTTTGTTCAATTGTTGATGTAATGGAGTAGAATAAGTAGATACTCCTCTTAAGTACTTAATGCTATTTTAACCGTTTATTAGAAGAGCTGGTTACACAGTTCTATGATTTTCAATCATAGACTTGTAGAAGTAGTATCCAACGAAATATACTGAAAATATTCTGAAAAAGATGGGCGAAAGCTCAACCAACAGAAATGGAGGTGGTCGCTGATTGTACTCTGATGCTTAATTGGAGATTATTGAGTACTGTGGGTTTGATCTTAAAATGATCAACCTTGTCAGAGAGGAGTAGTAAAGTCCTTATACATTGATTAGGCGGTGAACTTGTCTTGCAAGATGGTGACTCGTATTAGAACACCAATCTTGGATTCTGATTACTTCTTAAAACTTTAGACGAATTGAGTTACTACTTGATAAGTTCTGGTACCATATCGAGTCTTAAGATTCCTTTTTAAGAAGGTCAATCTTGAGTAGCCCAAGCCCTTATATTTTGATTATTGTTTTTATCTTTAACCGATGTGTGATTTAACCCGTAACAGAGATGTAGCAATAGAAGAATTCTTTGAGGATTATCAACGGAATGAAAACAATAACATTATGTCTTCACACTTGTACATATTATTCTGTGTAGAAGTTTCTTCTGTATGCAGCACTTGTTCAATTTGTATGTCTCCTAGGTGAGTTAATAAAGTAGAACATACCTTAGGCAACTAACTTTTGCTTGCATAAATTGGCTTTCTTGGCTGCCGAGCTGATATTGCCCTCGCGTTGAGGTGGCCTTCTTGGCTCCCAAGCTGAGTTGGTTTTTATATCAATGTGGCCAACACGTTGACTTCCCAGTTTCGAAGAATTGTGAGCTCGGCTCATTTTTGCCTCCAGCCGGAAAGTATGCACTCTGGGGCATTAGCTACCTCCAGTCACCTCTCTTTGATATCCTAGCTTTGAAGGGTTATGAGTTCGATTCACTTGTTTGGCTTGATTCGGTTATGATTACAAAATTACTTACAGCATACGAATTAAAAGGCCATATTGTTTTCTGAGCATAACGGTTTGTTTTTTCCTGCCCCTGCTACTTTAGCAGACAGTAATAGAAGTTCAGGTGAACAAAAAAGTGAATTTCTATTTTAAGCTAGTTAAAGAGTTGCAGTTTTCATCTCTTACCATGTTTCTTTGTGTAAAAATAATATTCATTTTTTACATATGCATTATATTTGTGTATTGCGCCTTTTCTGCTCTGAACCATTTGGCAATCTATCACCTCTAGCTTCTACTCATCTTTCTATTTAGAATTGTTATTTTTGTACATGATTGTATGTGCTCATTGATCAATCTATACATGTTTGCACGGACGATGCTTGTGATAATGCTTCACATACGGAAAAGAAGTTAATAATGTTACTCATTATATTGTCTAGTCCTGTTGACCAGTATTGCCTACTACAAATCGAGGACATGTACGCCTATATGCTTCCTATTGGGTATTCATGGAATAGATTTCTGGTTCAAAATAACAATACAATGGTCACAATTCTTAGTTGATAAAAAATAAGCCTTGAAAACAAAGTCATCATTCTTCACATTGCAAGATTCTCTTTATGTTCTGCAATGTGCATGATATAAGGGTGTTTACTGAATCTATGGATTCCATAGAAAGTTTTGCTGTTAGAGAATTGCTAGCTAGGATTTGAAATGCAATAGTCAGCAAGGATCCTCCCTCTGTGCTCTTTTCCTCTGGCCTAGAAGTGATAACTAAGGATCGAGATTCGATCCCATCGGGAAGAATCGAGAACCCTGAAGATAAAACAGCAATGTTGCTGGAATCACAACCCGCTATCACGGATTGCATGCCGTTTACATCCACGGGTGCATAGACGACCATAGATTCGTATGCATTCGTGCAGCTATCTTGGAGTATCCACATGTTCTGGTCTTTCGTCTTCATTGCCTGAATTCATGACATAAAAACTCAAATGAAGACAACGATTTGTGTACTATGTTTTTCTAGGAGTAGACAAGACTCACTTGGATAGTAACTGCATTTCCTCTGTCCTGCCCTTTAGCCAAGTTTCCAATGCATTGCACTGGACTCCCATTTGACATAATGTCCCACTAAAATTTGTACAAAGGAATTCAAGAAAACTCAATTAGGTCAGAATGATGAAAAAGGCGACGTGACAGCCTAATTGTTTGCAAGCTAGGCTACCAAGTCGGCTCTTCAACTAGTCAAACTAATGAATATGGATTGAATGATAGTAATTTCAATCACATAGGTAAGTACTACTCATTATTATTCGCACATTTCGTGGGTTTCATTCCTATTCTTCCTTAAAAACCATTTATAAATTTGCCAACCTGAGGCTAATCTTGAAGGAACAGGAACTCACGAACCTCATTACGGTGGTTTTCGTCTCGTAAGAAGTCGAACAAGACGTGGTGAGAGATGGGCAACCATACAGACGAAACTGCACACAAGATCACCCCGAGAGGTTCTCCTGGATCATTTATATTTTTCCTAGAAGCCACTCTTATGTCATCGCCAGTTTTACTGGGAATCTTGCTCCATGTATTGTAGCTAGATGCACCAAGTGCTCGACAGTAACTCCAAGTCATTCTTTGTGCCAATTTTAATATACTTTTCCTTCCAGCAGTTGTGGCAATTCCTACAAAGTTTCGTACATAAAATTCTGCAAACATTGGACAAATCTGAACATAAAAAAACAGTGGACTATTAAGATTATTACCACTTGAATCCTTTATAGGAACGTTTGTTGCCATGAAGAACACAAGTCTCTCGCATTGTTGTTGCAGGGTTACAATCCAGTGCTTTGCTCCAAATGCCAGACCACTGTTAACAATTGTGCGATAAAGGGAATGAACCGTGGTTTTCTGGCACTCCAGGTGTTCGACCCAAGTCACCTGAAACACCGATGGAAGAGTAAGCAGTCTACATGCATGCTGTAGGATTATGTGGGCCTAATTATACTGTAGCGTGCAGTTTTCTCCTCAACCGTGATCAACCTAGTATTTTATTACCAGGATAGTTGCTCCAAATTGGGCCAATTTTTTCATTACAAGAGTATATTGAGTATTCTACTCCCTTGTCAGGTCACCCTAATATTGCTACTATATAAGCGTCAGTTTAGGTGCGTGAGACGAGTGAGAAAACTTGTTATCTTTTATGTAGCGGTAAATGAACATAACTCCCACACCGAGAGTGAACATTGTTCGTTTCTATGTTCATTCTGTTTAATATGATTCTCGTAAGAAGGGATTAGGGCCTTAGCAGGAAAACATGCAACAAATAAAGAAGATTGATGCTCTGATTATAAGCTATGATGCAGACACAAACGGAAAGCAATCTCTGAAGAACAACCTTACAGTGGCCATTTGATGTATCTTGTATGATGCAACCAGAGGGACGTTTCCTGCATTTTGCCAGAGATGCATCGATATTATCTTCAACTTTGTCGATCGAGACGTCGATAATTGCCCACTGATCAGCACTCAGTTGTTTGCAGCATCTGACAAAATATACTTCTCTGGTAGCCACCACTGGAGTCAGCATTTGCAATTCTGCAAACATCTAACCGAAACAGAAACTTGAAATGTTATAACATACCCCAACAGTGTAAGAATCTGTTAAGGAAATGACTGTTTTAAGGAGGATCCTTACAAAAAATAAAAAAATAAAAAATTTCAAATCAGAGACAATCAAACATAAAAATGGACCCAAAAAATCTTACCAACTGCACTGCACCATCTCGGTTAACACCTTCGCCATTGCTCATAACATATACTGTAGCTGCCTTTGAGATCAAGCAAGGAAACAATTCTTTCCATTGATTCTACAGGGGAAAAAAAATAGAAAAGAAAAGAAAGATCACATTCATGAGTTCATCCATATTTGCCTTGAACTGTATGAAGCCTAATGCCTAATTGTACTGTTCAAATATACTCTCGACCGTAGCATCTACCAAATAAAATTGGATATTAGGTAGTCTACATATGTATTAGGCCACACTGATATCCCTACCATACATAAAAGATTTTTGATGGCAGTCCTTTTCGTTCTATGATTAAGAGAGAAAAAAAATGAAAAGGAAAAAAGAAGCTTGAGATCCTTTGTACAAAGATATCATAAATCTTACCACATCCATAAAGCTCTGTATTATCCTTGGGAGGTCTACAAAGATAATTCTAGTTTCTCTTGAGGCCTCAATGCATGTTTTAGGCTGCCTGTTGCTGGAATTTTCAGTAGGGAATTCTTTCATATATGCATCATAATTAAGTATTTCCCGACCCGTTTCATAGCTGCGGATCCACAGTGGTTCGCTGGAAGTAGCCATCTTCTTGAGCTCGTCCGTCGCCTTTTCTACTGCATCCATTATCCGTGACATTTCGTGCCCAAAAATGCCAGTGGAAAAGTCTAACGAGCTTCGAATTCCTTGTTCATTTCCAGATGAGCACGAGCTGTTTGGCGATGCTCTCGGATTGCATTTCCCAATAGCAGTTCTAAGTTTTTCGAGCTGCAAGTATTCTTGATATAAGAACATGTGCATTTTATGTATGTTAACGAAGATTAATCTTCTACGGTACTGTTTAATCAAACATATGAAACTTATCAAACCTCTTCTTTTAGTCTGGCATTTTCAATTCTTAGCTGTTGTTCTTCAGTTGCATCCTTTCTAGAGGTAGCAAATCCACAGCTAAGACAGCAAGACTTTTTTATGGTCTCCCTTAAAACTTTATTTTCCTCTCGAATTTTTTCCATTTCTGTTTTTAACAAAGAATTTTCGTGGCGCTCCTGTATAGCCTGCAGATATATAGCATATTAAGGGTAAAATCTCACGTCGCCTAAATATGAAAAATATAAAGCTCAAAATGAACAGTCAGGTTTCAAGATTGGTGTT